ATATTTTGTTTCATATTCTCCACATGCAAAATTTTTAAAGGCTTAGCAACCTACATCAAGCAGCAGCAAGGGTAGTAACTAGAAAAGATAACTGCTTACTTTACTTCTTTATTTACTGTTCTATGTTTTAGGGAAAATATGTTTATGAATTTATTTGAAAATAGCAATAATCTATATACACATATAATGTATAATAATTGAAATGTGACTGTATTTTACAATATACTAGTCTACTAAAACACAGTCAAGACAAGTTATTTTGTACAGACCAAAGGTCAGTTTTATGTTATTTGATACGGTACATGAGTGCACATGAGCCGCATCATTGTAACTTCTGTATTTTTAGCCAGGCACAGGTGAAAGGTCAATATAATAAAAATAATAAATATATATATAAATGTATAATGTTATGAGATTTAAGCTATTCCCTCTAAACATTCATGTTTTCATGTTATAATTTGTATTCATTTTAGAATGAAAGAGGCATAATTTATGTTTATTTCCTAATTTTTTATGATGGTTGCAAGATCGTTTAAATCTACCGACTCCATACAGAGATTAATTACCAAAAATAAAATATAAAGTTTTTTCTTAAGAAATGTTTGATAACTATTTGGACATCATAAAGATTTCACTTGTGAAATGTTAAAATTTTCTGAAGCATAAAAGTATTTTTAATCTTAAAATGAAAATTACTTTGCATGACAGATAGGCAAGATGTGAAAAGAAAGAAAAAGGCATGAGAAAAACATTGCTTTACAAACCTTAAAACTTAATAAAATATTTGATATTTTGCATATGAAAGCATTGTAATGTTTACTGATAAGGTGTCAAATTTGGTCATATGAGGTCAGTCCCAGGGGCTGAGCCCGGGTTGAAAGAGTTAATCTTAAAATTGTCATTTATTTTTCTTGCCATAAACCGTTAGTCAATAGAATTGCTTGATAAGTGATGATAATATTTTGGTTCTCTGAAGTTTTTAACCTATTTATAATCTACATAGAAATCCAGTTAAATTATAGTAATTTTGGGACATTCTATTCTAGTGACTGATATATATTTTTGTGTTCTAAGAGGCATATCTAAAACATGCATGAATATTTTTGGACACCTAAAGTTGTGAGACTCAACAAGACTCACAAAAAAAACATAAAATTTTTACTCAAGTGCACAAGAGCTAGAGTACACAGTAACTGTTATAAATCATTGTTTGTATGTATATTTATTGTTATATATTTCTTCTAATAAAAGTAACTCAAATGTATAAAGTATTTTTATTCTTAGACTGATCCAGTAAAGGTTTCAAAAATTCACAAACAAATCTTTAGTTAAAAAAAAAAAGTGACTTTTCATGTAAAACAGACTTGTAATATTTACTAAAAGCTTTCCAAATTTCATGAATGCACAAACAGTAAATTCAAGACTATAGTAAACATTAGTATATATACTTTCACAGATACAAGGTCAGTCAATTTGACCAAGCCAATGAACAAATAGTTAATTAAAAATAGCACAGTTATGTTAAAGGATTTTTTTTCCTACATAAATACATGTATGTTTATTAACTTTCCATACGGGATCAGTCAATGTGACCATCAGTTTCCATATGATAACTTTTAATATTGTAAATGTATCTTTATCAAACTTGGTAAGCTTTCAGTAAACATTACGAGTCTTCTATACACAAAAATCAGATTTTTTTACTAAAGATTTATCTGTGAATATATGGAGTTAAAGTGAAACAAGGTATACTCTTTGTCTGAGAGAAGGATAGGGAGAGATATCTCAAAAGCGTCACAAGGATGGGTGGAATATGTGCATGACTGTCCGAGAACTTTGCGCACAAGCCATTTGAAGGCCAATATGTGTAGTTGGGATATGTTCAGACTGTATCCAGTGTGCTCACCTCCTTGATAGTCAGTCTTTATGGGTCAATACCAGCTTTGAAAGAAGGGCACTGCAGAGGACACAAGTTAAGAATACTTATGAAACCACCATTCTATTTGTTTGTTTGTTTGTAACTAAACACAAAGCTACACAATGAGATATCTGTGCTCTGCCCACCACGGGTATCGAAACCCGGATTCTAGCATTGTAAGTCCACAAACATAATGCTGTGCCACTAGGGGGCAACCACCACTCAACCATCAGACTCTTTGAGCTCTTTTCCAGCTGTGGGAGTAGGGTTAATGAGCAAATAATCACATATGGATATTGAGAAATATCAATAACTCCACAAGAACAATTGGAGCGGTCATGTCCTTGCAGGACAAGGTAAAGGAGAAGAGAGATTAGGCAAGATGTGTGTATCTGAAATCCACTCAGAGACTGTGATCTCGATAGGTTGGAGTGGTCCATACTACACTTCCATGCTCCACT